TTCCCTAAAAAACTTTACTTGCCAGCCAGGCAAGTTAAAAACGCAGTTCACTAGCCCAATCATAAAATCCAGTACCCCAGGGCTATTGCCTGGACACTACTTTGTCTACTCTCTTTGCACACTGTTTAATGTAATTTAGCTAGAACTTGAACCTTTGAATGCCTTTTTAAACAATATTTTTACTCAGAAGTATGAGACAAACCTCCCGGATGAAATTAATAAAATACCTGTACAAGTGACTGGATAAAGTTGGGTACTATATGTTGTCATTTTTGCATAAACAATACAGGAATGATTATTCTTGTATTACTTACGACTAATTATTACGTGTATTAAATTGCGTAAAGTAATTAAATGTATAAATTAGAGGGTTGGATAAGAAATTAATGGGTCTTAAGTCACCGTGGGAGTTTTTTGTGGGGGTGGGGTGGGTCTGTGGCCAATATTATTGAACACGGGTTTTTACACACTTTATGAGAAATCATGCATTCTGGAAATAGAAAACTAAAAAAGCAATAACTACAAGACAATTTGAACCTCGTTAAGATTTGAATAATTTAGTGACTTAAGGCAACTAAAGGCGACCTAAGGCGACTTAAGGCTGGTTCTGATACTGTGACGTCAGCGTATACAAAAATATACGGATACGAGCGTCCACACGTATCCGCATACACAGCGTATACAGAAATTTCCACTCTGGAGAGCGTAGACAGAAATCTCCGGATACACCGAGCGTATACGGCGGACACGTGTGAACGCTAGGTGTATCCGCATTAAAAAAATTTGCGGATACAAAAATCTCCGGATACGTGTGGACGGGGCCTAAGAACACGCGCGGTTCTCGTGCTGAGATTATAAACTCAATTCGCTCGCGGCCTTCGGCCGCTCGATTCGCGAGAATTAAATTGACACTTGCAGAGAGGAACGACTCCGATTCTTGTTGAAGATTTTCAATGAATTTTAAAGCGAAAAATTGTAGTTTTTTTGTTTGGAATATCTCCCTGAAAATGTAAACTGGATTTCTCTCAATCCACCTACGGAGCTACGGATAATCAGTTTCTACTCGAAGCAGATCGTTATCAACTACCGTAGTGATGAACAATCCCGGCAATCGAGGCGATCGAACATAGGGAACCTACAGTGTAGTCATTTAAAGCAATGCAGGCTTGAGTGTTCGCATTAGATTCCGTCTGTTTGCATTATAAACTGTATCAGCGAAATTTCGTTTACCCGAAATTTCGCAGGCGCGAATTTTCGCACCTGCAAAATTTCGTTTAACCTAAATTTCGCTTACGTGAACACGAAATTTCGAAAAAATCTCCGCGAAATTTCGTGTCATTCTACGAAAGTGCGCGTGTGTTCGCGCGAAATTTCGTCGCACTTTCGCGAAAACAAAGGACGAAATTCGGCGAACTTCGCTCTCATTACTTTTGCACAGTACTGCACAGATTTATATTCAAAATTTTTGTAAAATAACTATTAAGAAATCCTTTTCAAGCCGATGAGTTGTGTCGTCACGATTCTTGCGATAATTTCGAGAAAAACAGGTAAAAACAACAAAGACAATGTTCCTTGAAATCATCACGTTGTTTTAGCTGCATGCCAAAAGTGGTCTCCTCCAATGTAGTTTTAATTTGCAATCTTTATCTTTTTGTGCAAGACTACAGTTGTTTTTGGAGGGGACGTGCTAGACAAAACAGTCTAACCGCCCATGGATCAATTGTCATCGATAGCCTTACATCAGTAAAATTCATTTTCGTCCACTCTGCAAACAGCGAATGGAACAGATCTCAAAATAGTTTTCTTGAACCAATAATCAAATAAATAAAAAGAAGTTCGTTGCCGTTAAAATCTTTGAAGATTCTTGGTTCTTTATACTAAAGATGCAATGTCAATTTTAGGTTTAGCCAGGGATAAAAGCGAAGCTCTCGATAATATTCATAGTTTGTTCAAACAAAATAAAAATCGTGTAATGCTAAGAGGCGAAGGCAACGGCGGAGAACGGTGAAAAACAACAATAACGCTTTCCAAACTAAAATGTGTTTTTCCAAACTTGTAATTTTCCGTCAGCCTCATGGAAATTCCTCTGAGTCTATTCTTCACTCATTGTAGATCTTGTATTCCCAACAACAACAAAACTGACGCAGTAAAAAATGCATTTATTTCAAGCTAAATTTTACAGGCAGTATTATTCATAAGTAAATGTTCTGCATGAAATGCAAAAATTTCGCCCTAGATAAAATGAACACAAAATACCTAAAAATCACTGCATCAAGCTAAGATGCAAAAATGTTGCATCTGGGAAGCTGGATACAAAATACCTAAAATCGACTGCGTCAAGCTAAGATGCAAAAATTCTGCATCTGGGAAACTGGATACAAAATACCTAAAATCGACTGCATCAAGCTAGCATCTCAGTCAAAATTACTGGGACACTTTTGTGACTTCTCATCAATAACAAGATTTTTAAAATTTAACATACATAAAAGGCCAGGGTTGTCACTAAGATTTCAAATTGCCGGGCAAATACAACAAGTAAGGGTTTGGCTCAAGTTTTCTTCTATTTTCCTATGAAAGTATCCGGGGGAAATCCCCGGCCCCCGCCTCTTAATGACAGCCCTGTTTTATTATTGTTCTTCTCAAAAAATTGTACATAGTTTGGCAAGCCCAGAAGGACGGGCTAATCATTTTAAGTCTGACAGCTCAATTAAAAAACCATAGCTGTACCTTTAAAATAACAACAGAACCTTCCCATGGCATGTAAGAATACTTCTGATAAAACATCCCACACTTCCCTGAAGCATTACGAATAAACTTGTAGCACTTTGGCTGTGTGTGATCATGCAGCTGCTCTGCATAACGAACTTGCCACTCTTTTATGTTATAAACAGCATCCAGCACAAAGGAAATGACTCTTCACTTATATTTTGAATCAATTTTGCATTGCCTCTTGCATTTCTGTCTAGGAAAAAGAATAAAAACAAAAACAGATGTCAATAAAGCCCAGGAACAAAAACAACATGTAAAAATCAAATGACATAACATAATAGTATTTCATTAATAATTGTCAAATGCATGTTAATTTTTTTCAATATCTTTGCATACAGTATATTTACCAGCAAAACAAAACAGACACATTTAACACAGTTAAACTAAAAATAGGTCTCAGGTACCCTTTAAGAAACCTTCCAGTTTACACTTGTAGTTAAGGGCAAAAGTTTCAGGGAACAAACCCAAAAAAAAACCTAAAAGTTCTAGGTACAATGTATTTTGAGATGCAATTTATTATAAATATCAGAAATAAATTACCAAAGAGAGTATGCTAGTTCATAAACATGGGAAAAAAATCTGATACTTAGAAAGAAAAATCCAAATTTTATGTTTAACTATTCAGACCTCTTCGAATGGGAATGGGAGTGGTGCCATCTGTCTTGTCAGACGGGCAGCGTTGTTTTTAGCTGAAGCTGGAAATACACACCGTAAAATTCCGAAAATAAGCCCCTCCATGTATAAGCCCTTCCAAAATAATATAAGTCCCCAAAGCTGGTAATGCAAAAAAAAAAAAAAAACATCCGTCAAACCACCCCTCCAAATATAAGCCTCTTGGGGGCTTGTTCTTGGAAAATTGCCCTAAAATACAAAGTAAAACAAAGCAAAAAAGGTAAATTTTCTTCCAACTATAAGGCTAGCCCAATAGATTTTGACACACAAATTCCCCCCCCCCGTAGTTAAGCCCCTCCGAATATAAGCCCCTCCAAAATTAAGCTCCTCAAAAAGGGCCTTTGAACAATATAAGCCCCGGGGCTTATTTCTGGAATTTTACGGTATACCAATAGTTGTTTAAAGACTATTTTAGCTAGCTGTTATCACAGCGACCACTACAGAAACCTGAGTCCACTTACCATCCATGGTGAAGGTATCATTGAAATCCAGGTGCCCTGAATACACCCCCCTCAAAAAAAAAAAAAAAAAAAAAAAGCTTCAATCTCTTCATGAGAGTGTCCCACACTACGGCAGCTGCAGCGCCCGTTTTTCACACTCAGTACAGGTTTTGGGATTCTTGCTGATGTCAGCATTTTTGAAACCTGTTTGGGGCGGTTTGGACTGGTTATTTTTTGCTAATTAATTGGACAAAACGAAAAGTACTTAAGGATAAGGCGATATAATATATTATAATGAGTCAGAGTCAAAGTCAGAGTTCAATTAATTTTATCCAACCTATTAGTATGTATAATAGGAAAGATTTATCGAAAATGTCTAAGGACGAATTAATAAATATGTTAATGGGAAAACAAACTGCGAGCGCCAATCTGGCAGGACCAGTTAATCAGACTGCTAGCGCCAATCAGGTAGGACCAGTCTTCAAGCTTAAATCACTTACAGAACTAGCGGCTGAAAAATTAGAAAAATCAATAAAACGACCAGCCGTACTACCAAAACAGAGTAATAGAATGCCAACATTAAAGACACTAGCTGCAAATGCAATGGTCAAGGACAAAATTAAATATTTTGAGGAATTGTCCGATAAACAAGTTCCTACTATTAGGTTACATAAAAAACCTGTTTCGCTGCAAAATATGCGGGATGAGGAATTGAAGCGTGCCAGAGTATCAAAATATAAACAACAATCATCATTTCAAAACTTGTTTCACGAAAGACTAGAACAGATGCCTGGTAAACGAGAACGGGCACAAATCACAATAAACACTGTTATTGAACATACAATTGGTAACAGAACTGAGTACACTGATAAGACATATGGGCCATTCAAAATGGAAGTCCCAAAATTAAGTGAACCTGATATGTACAAATTTTTAATGTATACTCTGCTCCAAAATAAATTCACAGTTTTATCGACTGAGACAATAGCCGAGGTTGGGGCTGATATTTCGACACATAATACTCAGTTCTTCAAAGATCATAAAGCTGGTGCTCTCAAATTGAATACATTCTTTTTAGACAAGCAGTTTCAGATTAAACAACGGGGCGATAATACTTGAATGGTTGATTTTGTTTGGCATAACTGCAAGGGTAAGAAAGGATTCCAGAAATATACGTATCAAAAATTAAGTGACGAATTGGAAGTATATGCTCCAAGGTTTCCAATGATGTCAACACAAGAGTTAGTTACATGGGCTAAAGATTGCCATCCAGATGTATCAATCCACGCTTATGATTCAACATGGAGGAAATTTATGAAGCATAATCCACTTCACCAACATACAATCGCATTAGTATTTTATATTAAGGACCATCATCTATACCCCATTCAAGATAACCACCTCAAACAGATCGCTACAGAGGCTAACCAAGGTGGCGCCGATAATCTATGGCGCTACATGTCAGAACTCAAATGGTCAAATCGATCGAGTAACTATATTAAGTATCAACAACTTGTCGATAATGCTGATGCTGACATTGTCAAACAAAAGGACAACAAAGCAGACAAACCAACACTGCTAACAATAGAAAATCACGTAATCATCCTGCCGGAGGATATGAAGATCGACTACGTCATTGAGGAATGTATGATACGCACCAATTATTTTGTCGAGTATTTACATTACGATAATAACGGAAGATTGGATGGTTTTATGGACCATAAACATAATATGTACATACTGAACAATGATTATGACATTAGAAAGGAAATATGTAGGAAGTTATTCAGGATGTACAAAACACATGATTTTATATGGTGCAATCAATCATACACAGCTTTGGCATCATCGATGTTCAAACACATGAGAGAATACCTCCCCGAATCACAGTATGACACTAAAACACGGGAAGTACTTGATGATTTTTATCCCCGAGCTCTTCAATGGTGTGCAAGTGAGGAATTACCTGAGTTTGTCACATCACTTGATATCTGCAAGTGTTATCCAAGTATCCTGATTAACAATACGGAATCGATACCTCTCTACACAATAAATGATGTAATATTGTCGTACGATAATAATGAACTAGTACCCGGTGAATATTATATCGACGAATATCAAATACCAATGGGGGACAGCGACGTCGGGATAGAAGCTGGATTTTATAGTAGGCGAACCATAAAAATATTAATCGAGAAGTTTAATATGCCAAAAACACAGATCAATTGGTATATACCGTCACGGAAGGCATTGCGTTGTGATACTTTCAAGAACTACCTGTTGGCAATCTTCAGTCTATTTCCAGAGTCTGAAGCAAAACTACTCGCAAATTCCTTCATCGGAAATCTCGGAAAGAGGTATAGTAGGAAAGATAGTGGGTTTGTATGTCAGTCAATGGATACTGTTCCATGCATTTGGACTTCAGCACTTGCTGAGAATCGGAATATCACTATTGACAGTTATCGGAATCCTACAACTAAAAATGAACTGTACCTTGTTAGAGAAAGCAAAGTAGAGCGTATATTATCACACAATGCATCGATTAACAGATTTGTCATCAGTGAAGTCATAGCTAACTGTCTCGAAATGGTATACGATAATTGGGAAGAGGATAGTAAACTATATGCTGTCAACACTGATGGAATATTTATAAGTAACCCAAAAAATAGTTATCCAAACAAGAAAGATGTCGAGTTTAAACCTGAGAATATTGGTAATGTCTATCAAACGGACAGCAAATTAGTATACTTTGAGAAACATTATAGGGAAAATTTCAACACTGACAATTATGATGATTATGTGGGCAATGGCGTTATTTACTACCGAATGGCCGGAAGTGGTAAAACATATAGATTATGTGAAATGGCATCTCAGGCCGATAACCCCATAATACTATCTTTTACAAACAAAGCAGTAGAGAACGTAAAATCAGTGTTTCGTAAGCTGAACCAACCATAATTAACCAAGCGGTGTTATACATTCGATCTTTACTTTTTCGATCAATATGGACGCGATATCCACTCTCTTAAGGACAAAACAATATTTATAGATGAGTTTTCAATGATTCCATTACGCTGGATGACGCTAGTATATCAAGCATTCAGTATTTACCATAATCAAGTGTTCATGTTTGGTGACCCGAATCAATGTAACAGCGTGGAAACAACAAAAGTATACTACGATTATCTCAAGTCAATTCCAATAAGTGAGATGTGCCCCAAACGGGTAAAGATGAAGTATAAACCAGAATGCGCAAGATACGATACTCCAACAAAAGAGTTTCTTGACAAATTTCTCCAAACATATAAGATAGAGGAAACAATGCTACGACCTGAACCATCATATACAAATATCTGTTACCTCAATAAAACACGAAGACGTGTCACAGAAGACTGCTGTAACCGTTTTAGTGCTGATAAAGAGAGTATGTTAGTAGGATTTCGATATCAGGGTAGACTTGAGAAGTATGTGATAGCAGCCGAAATGCCGTTACTTGTTACAAAGAATATGCGACAACATAATTTGTTCAATAATCAGGAATGTAAAATCAATACCTTTGGTGAGAATGAAGTAGTGGTTGAAGATGAGGAACATAATATGATAACAATGAAGCTGAGTGAATTTAGAGATAGTTTTATTCCCTCATTTTGTTGCACTGTATACAAATACCAGGGTGGTACTATCGATAGACCCTACAATATTTACGACGCTAACCAGATGGACAGAAAGCAAATGTATACGGCATTATCGCGAACTACTAAACTAGAGTACATTAGGATTGATAAACCAGCGAGGTATTACAGTAAACCAAAAGAGTCTCCATCAGTAGTTGTCAATAGTTACTTTAACGATGACTAACATAATGGTCAGGTATATGAGATATCGTTTCAATTAATTGACAAGTTGTATGTGGGTTGTTCAATACGGAATCTACGACAGCGACTTGATGAACATATTAATGACAAGAAATCAGCAGTCTACAAATATAGAAATATGAAACCAGCTATACGACCAATAATTTGCTGTCCGTGTAAGGATAGAAAAGCGCTCAATAAAGTAGAAGCTGAACATATCCATCATTATGCGATCAAGTATGGTGACAGATTACTTAACAAACAGCATGTGACTAAATCGCAATCAAAACCGAAGATTCATCATGCTGAAATTGAGAATGACCAACAACTTCGGCAAAGATTACGGGAGAAGTTTGGTGATAAAATCAAGATCAAAGATGATCCAATGAATAAGCTACTATATTATGATACAAAAATTGATGGCAAACGTTACAAAACAATGGCGCGCTATAATAAGTGTTCCAAAGAAGAAGCGTTAACCAAGATCACAAAAAAGCAACAACAATTGATCGATGAATTGACAATCCAGTTCAACTAATCATACTTTAAGAGAAAAAATCTAAATATAGTATAGCAATGATGTGCAATAAAGAAGTTCACAAGTTATTGATCCAAGAGGATTATGTTAACTGCGTCTTTTGTAATAAACAGATTCAGGATCCCGGTTAAGCCTGATCGAGATTTTTGTTGCGAATCTATGACACTGATCAAGGATAACTTTCTTGTGCGTAAGAATTTTGGGCAAGTACATGATTATTTAATGGCGGACGAGTATATTGACTTTTATGAGAACAGATACAGGATAAAAAGAAAGTCCATCTATTACAGAAAATATTATATCATCAATACGCTAAATGATATAGCACAAAAAAATAATATCCAACTTGATTATTATGATAGAGAGAGTATTCTGAGAATATTCCAACTATTTGACCTTATTGAACTCCCAGATGTGGGCAGAAAACGAAACGGCTTATTAGTGTAAATTATATCATCAAACAACTATTTGACATCTTAGGAATAAAATACAAGTCCATTCCTCATACACGAATAAAAAATATACTAAAATATTACAATGAATGGTGGGACAAAGTTTATGGTCATATTAAGGATGACGTCAATAGAATAATTTTAAGGAGGCATTATTGATCTGTTGGATGGGAGAGGAACTTTTTTCCAAATTGTTTTCCAAATTTTGTTACTAATGGGCAGAAATCTATAACTGTATCATCAAGAACATTAACCTTTTTCAAAAAGTCCTGTTTATTAAAGGGCCCACCTCGAAGCGAAGTTTTGAGATCGGCTAATATTTTCTGATATGTTGTATATGCATATTTACTCATTTCTATTTTACGTTTGTAGTTCTTAGTTTCACAAAATGTTTTGAGTAATACACCGGCGCCTGTTACAGTACCTATAATAATGGGGTTGGCTGTGATGCCACCAGCTACGCTACCAATAATGACTAAACCCGCCAATACAATATTAGAAGCCAGATTGACTTTTTTGTAGTGTGTATAAGCTTTTTGATAACACCAATATCTATAATGATAGAATTTATACAGCTCTTTGATTTCCTGTATTTCTTCTTTTGTTTTGTTTTTATCAATGTGGTTGAAATTGAATATACTCATTTATATTATTAGTTTACATTACATAAGAACCGCCTAATTTTTCCTGCATTATTATTGTTTGAAATTCGTGAGGATCAAAGTCGTAAAAGTTTGGAGAATACACAATTCTATAGATTTTTGCATCGTCTGAGGATATTCTAAATGTGTAGTTACTTTGAGATGCTAATTCTGAACTTAATGTTAATGTTCCACTATAATTTGAGACTGAAGCTTTTACTGTAAAGTCGCCCCCTGTTCCTTTTTTAGTCAGCCAAAACACAACACGTTTACCATTGAAACTGTTTAGTAATGTGATAGAAGTTTCATTAGTTGACTCAACCAAACCATTAGTTTGCAGTTTTAATTTCTTTGTTGTTTTGTCATAAGTCAAGTGTGGTTTTTCAGCAGCTCCATCTCTCATAAACGTTTTAATGTACATATTTCTGTTCAACCACTGCTGCATAACAACACAAAGAGTAAAGCTCTTTTTACCGAATAATCTTAAATTTATTGCCTTATTTTGTATCCTCAATCCTCCTTCCTCAATATTAGCAATAAACATATTCGCAAAATATATGTTAGGAAGTAAACCTATAAATACGACACCTGATGGTCTTGTTGCTATTTTATAGATACCAGCATTGCTTAAATCATAAAATTCCTTAAATATTTCCCTGTACTTATTATTTGTTACAGGGCTCAATTTCGTCTCCAAATCTTTGACCATTTTCACAGTCGCCGCCGAATTATTCTTCGTTTTATCTGGCGTAATGTTTAATATCTTCTTTCTGTTCATATCCAGATCAACATTGTAAACAACTTCAGTTGGCTTAATATCAAAAGCTGTATGGTAATCATAAGTTTTGTTTGGATCTAAATCCATTGTTTCGCCAAGAATACCGTAAGCTATTAGGTAATATTTATTGAAATTAGTTGGATATGTGTTCAAGTGAATTCCCGACTGAGCCATAACATCCTGGATATGTAAGAAATAAGGGGTGGAGTCAGCTGTCTTACTAAATGTCACCAGGAGTTTATAATAATACATATATTTAACTTGATTGGAAGATGTTCTATACTCATGTGAGTACTTATTGACATGCCATCTTTTTACAGTCACTCCCTGGCTGGTAGTTGTATCAACAGTAATTACTGATTTGTGCCATAATTTATAGTCAGTAGTAAGGATTTCCAAACAAAGGGTATATTCTTTGTCCTTTTGAAGGCGATAGCATTGGATAGCTAATCGCCATTTATAACCACCCTCTGAATTCTTCTTAATGGATGCGAAAATCACCTTTTTATTGTAGGAATGATAGTTGCCCGATGTTGCTTCTAAATCACCTATGCTGTTTTGGGCAATACTGTCAGTTAGTAAATCAGTCCATTGTAAAAGACCAATTGTAGGGTCCATGAGATATGCAAATCTGTTAGTATGATCAGATGGCTTTATAAAATGTTTATTCAATGTTCTCAGATTAATAGCATCAGTAGCATCAGTCAGGTCTCCAAGATTAATAATCTTGTTTTTGACCATATTAAATTGGTGGTAAACATATGGATTAGTAATTTGTACAAAAAAATGCATTTCCAGTGTTCCGGTTTATTGCTTGATATTGTGAAGTAAGGATTTTGTTATATAATATTGTATGACCAGTCATAGTGCCACCGGACAGTTTCAAATAATTATCGTCTATGTATTTTTTGTCAACCCCATGTTTATCATCAGTTGGTTTGGCAAGATTAGTGATTTTATTATTGGACATGTTTAGTGGTCCAGCCATTACTCCACTGGATTTATCCAGGAATTTATTTTCTGACCATATTTTGTAGCTGGTTGATTATCACCATTTGGTTGTGCTATATTGTATATCCTCTTGCTATTCATATCCAAACTGCCGGTCATTATTCCACCAGAAAGTGATAGTTTAGTATCAAGTTGACTTTTTCTTACAGCGTCAGTGAAAGAAGTCCCTTCAGCCATACCTTTTATTTGTTTACCTAACATATTATAATCCCCCCTTGATGTGAGACTAAATCCAACACCTTTTGGTCCTTGATCACCTTTTGGACCTTGGTTACCCTGATCACCTTTGGGTCCTTGAATACCCTGTTCACCTTTTGGACCTTGGTTAGCCTGAGCACCAGCGGGGCCAGGTGGGCAGGAGGTCCTTGAGGGCCAGTAATTCCGCGTTTTCCTTTTGAGTACGATTGATTATAATTAGGTTGCTGATTAAATATTCCCATCTTATAATAGTATATTAGATATTTCCATAAAAGTTTCTTTTGACAGTCTTCATTGGTTTATCCACTTAAAGGAATGAGTAGGGTTGTTTAGTGGCTTTAATATACTGATCCTTTGTTATATTAAGCTCTCTAGAGATCATATTTCGCTCATTACTGCTAGGGAAATCATAAACAACATAATGGCTGCAGTTTAGTTTGATATCTTTTGGAGTTTTATAAAATGATTGCGAAAGGTAAATAACAC